CATGCTTTCTGATTGGTCCAGGGTTCATGCTTTCTGATTGGTCCAGTGTTCATGCTTTCTGGTTGGCCCAGTATCCATGCTTTCTGATTGGTCCAGTGTCCATGCTTTCTGGTTGGCCCAGGCATCTGTAGCTCCTCTCACCTACATAGCTCCTCTCACCTACAGCTGGGTCGTGTTCAACTCAAGTTGCCAAAGAAGCTTGGGTGGGTAAGCTTTGTACTTCTGGTTAATATAAATCATGACAAAGAGTGATGTTCATTTTATTTATGAATGGACTGAAGCTAGGAGTGGTGTTTATTTTATTATGAGTGAACTGAAGCATGCTAATAGTTGCTTCTTTCTCATAGGTAGGGCCTTAGAGTCTAAGGCCCTTTCATGCTCGTAGAATTTTAAACTGTGTGGGAAGTGAAGTCATGATAATGCAGCATATTCATATCCGTGAAAAAGGAAGCATATCTAATATTTCATATTGAATATATTATAAGATTTATAAATGTTTTGCTTACATGTACACACACACACACACACACACACACACACACACACACACACACATTGTGCTTGGTGCCCGTGGAGGCAAGAAGAAGGTATTGAATCCCTCAGAACTTGAGTTTCAATAGATAGTTGTGAGCCTCAGTGTAGATGTGACTTCTGGGAACCAAACATGGGTCCCCTGCAAGAGTAGCAAGTGTTTGAACTGCTGAGCCATCTCTCCAGCATCAAATGAATATGTTAATTTTAAAAATAAGAACCTTTGTGAGTATTAGTAATATTAATACAGAATCCTGTACTACTGTCCATCAGTTGGTGACTAGATAAAGACACTATCACTTCCTGGTAAGAAGGGCTTCTGAGGCACTGAAACAAATGACGTCATCCAGGCATGGTGGCTTCCTCCTGTAATCCCAGCACTTCAGAGGCTAAAGCTGGAGTATGGCAAGTTTGAGGATAGGTTGGGTTGTACAGAGATAGCCACAAGATGAATATCCAAAACGTCCAGCTAAGCTAGAAAAGTCAGACATGAAAGAGTATACAAGGTGTGATTCCGATTGTGTGGGACTCTAGAAAAGACCTCTGGCCAGAGTGGGGAATGTTCACAAAGAGGAAGCGGAAATTTTGGCAGGGTCGATAGAAATATCTTTCATCTTGATTAGAGAGTGTACCTTCACGGGGCCCAAATCCATCAAATGGGCACCTTAAAGGATCTTGTGTATTGAATTTAAATTACAACAAAAAGTTGCCATGCCTAAAAAGAATTCTAGTAAGAGCACAGACTCAGTGACGTGTCGGGCAAAGAGAGGAGGTGCACACACTAGCCGCACACGTCAGCAGCACCAGAGCGAAGGACGGCATTTTGCTCCATGTAGGACGACACCAAGGAGAGACTTGCTCTTTGCGTGGTGCAGGCGAAGGAACGGCAGATTTTCCTCTTGGGTTTTTTTTTTTTTTTCTTTCGTTCATTCTTTCATATTCTTGCAGTTCTGGCAACCCAGAGCCTGGCACGTGCTAGGCAGGTGATGCATGACTGAATTAGATTCCCAGGCATCACGCTTTTTCAACCACACTTATCCTGTTCAATGTGTTAACTGTATGAATCGCAGAGACAGTTCTTACATAGTCTGTGTGCCTGTGGACAGACGTGTGTTTGGGAATCTTTGGTGTTCATGTGTTACTTCTCTGGGCTTTTTACTTGTGCCTACTAATCCTTTGAAAAAGAAGAAAACCACACTCTCTCTTTTTGCCTCTGCCTTTTCCAAAGTTTATTTCCCACACATGGTGCTCAGGCCTATCACATGTTGTCAACTCCATTCAGTGTCTTTGCTAACAAGTTAAGTTTTTAGCAAGTCTGAGAGAATTTTCCATCTACCTATGCTGTGGAGGGTTTGGAGAGAGGAAAGGGAAGGGAGAAATTAATTATAATCTCAAAAAAAGTTTAAAAAGGCTTCTAAAAGAAGGGGAGAGAGGGAAGAGTGAATAGATGAATGGGTGGATGGATGGAGGAGGGAAGAGTGAATAGATGAATGGGTGGATAGATGGAGGGAGGGGATAGTGAATAGATGAATGGGTGGATAGATGGAGGGAGGAGATAGTGAATAGATGAATGGGTGGATGGATAGAGGGAGGGAATAGTGAATAGATGAATGGGTGGATGGATAGAGGGAGGGAGGGAAAGAAGAGTGAATAGATGAATGGGTGGATGGAGGGAGGGAAAGAAGAGTGAATAGATGAATGGGTGGATGGATGGAGGGAAGAGTGAATAGATGAATGGGTGGGTGGATGGAGGGAGGGAAGAATGAATAGATGAATGGGTGGGTGGAGGGAGGGAGGGAAGAGTGAATAGACGAATGGGTGGATGGATGGAGGGAGGGAAGAATGAATAGATGAATGGGAGGATGGAGGGAGGGAGGGAAAGAAGAGTGAATAGATGAATGGGTGGATGGATGGAGGGAGGGAAGAGTGAATAGATGAATGGATGGAAAGAAGAGTGAATAGATGAATGGGTGGAGGGAGTGAGTGAGGGAGACTTCTGAAGAAATTCACTGATGTTATATTAACCAACTCAGTAAAGAGAAGTGAGGAGATGAAGGAAAAGATTTGAAAAGGTATGAGGTTTTTTTTTTTTTCAGATCCAAGAGATTTTTGTGTCTAGAAAAACAGTATTTGATTTGGGTTTAAAATTAATTTTTTAGAGCTACCCATTAAAAACCCAGTTTTTGCCAGGGGTTGTGGTGCATGGCTTTAATTCTGGCATGTGAGAGGTTGGAACAGAAGTGTTATGAGAGAGCAGCCTCTAGCTGAGAGACTCAATCTCAAAATAATTTTTAAAAATTTGTTTAAAAATTTCAGGGTGCCAGGCAGTGGTGGAACATGCCTTTAATCCCAGCACTTGGGAGGCAGGGGCAGGTGGATCTCTGTGAGTTTGAGGCCAGCCTGGTCTACAGAGGACAGCCAAAGCTACACAGAGAAACTGTGTTTCAAAAAAAGGCCATTTAAAATATATTTATTCCACTAATAATCTTGATTAAGATAACCATTGTTTCTGTCTTCTCATTGATTGACTCAAATTGAGCTGATTATACTTGATAATTAGACTCCTATACAATTTAATGAACAAAATTTTACATATTTTGAAGTATATTTATAGTTTTAAAGTTTATTTTTATTTAAGTACTTCAATGCATATTTATAACCCTAGCAAGCAAAATATTCTCAGGTTCTTAACATTTACATAGCACATAAATTAAATTAAGGCATTCTCAAGTTCTCTTACATATTTCAATTATGTTTGAACTTAAGTCACTTTATCTAAAACTTTTAAAATTAATTATCACAAGTCTATATCAATGTGTTCAACATAAATGGAAAACTCAAGGTGGGATATCTAAGGTTTTCTTTTTTGGTTTTTCTAGACAAGATTTCTTTGTGTAGCCTTGGCTGTCCTAGAACTCTCTGTAGACCAGACTGGCCTTGAACTCACAGAGATCAGGCTGCCTCTGCCTCCCAAGTGCTGGGATTAAAGATGTGCACCACAATGCCCAGCTTTAGGTTTTCTTAACTGATCAAACGTTCAGATTTCCTGGGTTGAGAGACAATCCTGCTGTTGCTCTTGCAGAGAGCCAGAGTGTGGTTCCTAGTAATCACATGGTAGCTCTCAACCATTCATAGCTCCACATCCAGGGGATCTGACGCCCTCTCTGACCTCTGCAGGCTGTTTATGGTAGACAAACATATACACAGAAAGACACTCTTCCAAATAAGGTAACAAGATAAATCTAAAAAATGAAAACATAGAAAATCTTCAGATTTCCAATATAACAAATATAAAAGATGGTCTTGTGACAGATAATACATCCATACACTTTAAAGCTTCAGTATCATGAGATAAATATACTTCATCTTTATTTACCCATTTTTGAGGTTGAGATTAGATGGTAAGACTCCTGTTTTTAGATGATTATATCAAGGTCACTGATGTTGCTTTAAGTCCTTTTTGGAATCATTATAACAAGGAAGTTCAAGTCTGTGCCTTTCAGATGGAGTTGAGTTTTCAAACTGAAGTGTCAGCTTTATTGCCTGATTTCTATGGAGTAAATTCTTCAGAATGCTCCCTGCCTACTTCATCAGCCTCTGTGGCTCACTGACTCGTCTGTCCCTTCACATTCCCCTGCTTTGTGACCATCTTCATCTGGCTTTGCATAGTGCACAAAAAATGGAGAAACAATATAGAATTATGTGTACCTTTACATATAAATGTATAATTACATATAGTTAATGAATATTTATAACTTTCGCTGCTGCTAAGTAAAAGCACTTAAACATTAGACTTCCTACTTATAACTCATGGTCTAACCTGGTCTCTGCTGTACTGTGATTGTCAGCCTGTTGAGGTTTTCCACTGACTGTGAACTCCTAGAGGATAGAGAAATGGCCTTTTCTCTCTTAATTTATTATGATTCCATAACCTTTGTAAGTATGTATTTCAGTGGCGTTAAGTATAGTCACAAAGAATATGGCTATTATGCATGACTTTAGTCTATGTTTTCTGCACATTGTCAGGCTATAAACAGCACTTAATAAACACTTGTTGGGTAGTCTGATGAATGGGTGAATGGGTACATGATGATGAAGGACTGATGTTTGCTAGCCACACAGCAAGCAGTCTCCCTCATATGTGTGTGTGTATACCAAGGATATTGACGTGTATATTCATCTTCTCATTTAAAGGCTTCAAATTTGGCCGACCCGGTGGACACGGACCCTGATGATCCAGGACCGGACATAAGCCTTCTGCATGACCTTGTGGCATCCATCAAACTAAGCAAAATGCAGAAGAAGGTCAAGCACATCCTCCTTCACTGGCTGAATTACTACAGATCCACATTGGGTGAGCCCAATTGCTCCACATCACCAACCTCACAGTTCCGATTTCTAGAAAACCCGATATTTAAACACCTGCCCCCACCGAGGCTCCAAGGTTGCAGGTCTATAACTGTGAAGCCCTGTTATACAGCTTCTTATCATGGACCCTGGTGGAGGGCTGCAGCAGGAACACACAACATGACCTTTGATTTTGTTTACTTTTTCGGAGAAGGCAACCTACATGGCCACTGCTGTGTTTTCATAAGGAAAGGAACTTTCCAATTTATTTTTATTTTATTTTTTTGTGTATCTTTGGTTGTGAGCCTAGCCTTTACTAGCCGAGCCATTTCTACAGCCCTCATATTTATTGTTTGGATGAGAAACTCCTCTCACACCATCAAGCCTAATCCTTAGTCTCCTCATTTGATCGCTTGTGTTGAGAGGGGTCTCATGTTCAAATCTTCTATTGAATGCGCATCAACTCACGGCTGGTGTTGATTACAGAGCCTATCACAATCTTAGTTCTTGGCTGGTGATGACGAAACATAGTTTCTTCTCATTATTCATGGAAGTTGGGTTCTGTCATCTCCACAAAGACTAGGTTAGTGTGTTGGTTACTTTTCTTCTCTCTGTGACCAAATACCTAACAAATAACAAGTCATAGGAAGGATTTACCTTGGCCCGTGGTTTGAGGCATTAGAGTCCATCATGAGGGGGAAGGCGTGGAAGAGCTCAGCAAAGCAAGACATCATGGCTGGGGCTCCTGACATCTCGATGGATAAGGACGTAGAAAGCGGGGATGTTAGCACTTAGCTGGTTTCCTCTGTTTTTCCTTTTTATGGAATCACCTACATTCAGGGTAGGTCTTTCCTCCTCATCTAAACCTCACTGGAAATGTCTTCAAAGACATCCATGTGATTTCTTAGTCTTTGGCTAAGATCAGATGTAAAGAATGCCCAGAGGTGTGCTTTCTGGGTAATTCCAAATCCAGTCAAGTTAACAATGAAGATTAATCACCCCGTGACAGTCCATCCATCTAGCCCAGGTCCTCAAAGGCTCACGGTAATTTCACAATGCAAAATGCACTTAGTTCCTCTTTAAGAACCCTAAAGTTTTAACAGTTTCAACATTGTCCCAAAGGCCAAAGTCTCTGCTGAGATCCAAGATGATCTCTTAATAGAGTCCTTATAAAATTAAAAAACAAAACAAAACACATTGCACACACCCCCAAACAGTGACATTTGGTAAGCACTTCCATTTCAAAAGGAAAGAAAGGGAACATAGCCTAGACTAAAGCATTATAAAAACCCACCAGGGCAAACACCAAATCCTGCAGCTCCACCTACAGCATCTGGGCTCTGCCAGACTTGAGTGGTTCCATCCCTTCAATTCTGCTGCCTGAGCACACATAACCTCTCAGTGTGGATCCTCTCAGTGCCTGTAGCTTTTCTTGGTAGACATCTGATGGTCCAGGCACCTCCTGCTGTAGGTTGTGTTTGGTTCTTTTTGGGGGAGCCACCCAACTCCCAAATAAATCACACATGGAGGCTTATTCTTACTTATAAATGCCCGGCCTTAGTTTGGCTTAATTTCTTGCCTGCTTTCCTTAACTTAAATTATTCCATCTGTAGAATATTATTTTAAGGTGTGTAGCCTGATAAAGGTACAGTTCTCAAGAATCCAATGGACCTTTTAATTCCAAACTCCTCCTTTCTCTAGCTGGGTAAATTTGGAATTATTGTGACATCATGGAAATAAGAATACAGTTATCCCTTGGTATCCATAGTGGGCTGGTTCCAGGACACCTATGGATATCAGAATCTGAGGTTGTTAAAGTCCCACTTATAAAATGCTGTTCTAGTTTCAGAAAACCTACAAACACCTTGCTGCATATTTTAAATTATCGATATACTTCGAATGCCTAATGCATCGTGAATGTTGTTATACCACATTGTTTGAGGGATGATGATGGAGGTGGAGGAGATGCCTGTATATATTCAGCGCAGATGTCATTTAAAAATTATAGTTGTGGTCATGATTGGTGGAATCGTGATTGAATCATTTTGTGTTTGGCTTTCCTTTGCTCTGCCGAGTACCTGAGAAAAGTCATTTAAAGCAAGAGAGATAAGTTTATATTTTTGGCTCTGTTTTAGAAGTTTCCATCCATACGTGGGTGACCCTGCTGCTATGGGCCTAAGGTGATGAGGCAGAATGGCTCAGCCATGGGGTGGCAGAGGGAAGATGCTCAATCTAAGGCAGACAAGAGCTAGAGGAGGGGAGAAGGATGAGTGAATGGACTAAAGATAAGATATACCCTTGAAAGGTACTCTTCCAATGACCTACTTCCTCTCCTGAGGACCTCCCTCCTAGATCCCACTACCTCTCAATAATACCATTAAATTATGAATCTGTCAATGAACTTATCTATTGAGCAGATCAGTGTCTTCATCATCCACATTGCTCCCCAAAGCCTCATCTCTGAGAACTGCACTAGGGATCGAGTCTTCAACAAATGAGCCCCTCCTCTCTTTTTGGTTTCTCAAGACAGGGTTTCTCTGGGTATGTCTGTCTGTCCTGTTTGTCCAGGTTTGCTCTGTAGACCAGGCTGGCCTTGAACTCAGAGATTCACCTGCCTCTGCCTCCATAGTGGAGGCATGTGCCACCACCACCCTGGCACAAAGGAGCCTTTTGAAGGGGACACTTCATATCTATAAAAGCTTCCCTTCAAACCCCGTGGATATCAAAGGCCACATTACGAGGGTACTATTTGAACAGGATTGTATATTTTAAATACTTGGCTCCTTCCCTGGCACAGAGTAAACACAAACTCCTCTGGATTGTATTTGTTGATGACCTAGATATCTTCCTTGTTTATGACATCTGTGCCATGGTTCCTCAGAGAAGACAAGAGGTACCCAAAGCGGGAGTGGTGGTGGTGGTGTCCATGGAGAGGAGGATTATTTATATGTGATGAAGAAATATCCCAGCTACTGCACCCAGTGTAATCTGTCCAGCTCAGCCTACGAGTGTCTTCATCCTTCATCGTTCAGCGGGGTGTGTTTGGTTTTCACTTCAGGGCTGGAGTCACTGCACGTTTGCAAGCTGCCCATGTTTGCCAAAAAGGCGGTCAGAAAGCCGAAGGTTGCATTTGCAATACCTGCCCTGAGTCGGAACGCAAAGGAAGCCGATTGGTACAAGGAGTATCTTCGGTACCGAAATACCTTCCTGGCGCTGAAGGAGTTCTTCAAGCCTTTGCCTTACCATTACATCCACAGGACCTCAGCCACCAACCAGTGCTCCCGGTAACCAGCCTCCCTTATTCTGGCCATCTGAAATCTGGCTCATGGTTGAGAGACATCAAAGCAGTGGTTCTCAGCCTTCCTAACACTGCCACACTTTAATACAGTTCCTCATGTTGGGCCGACCCCCAGCCATAAAATTATTCCGTTGATACTTCATAACTGTCATTTTGCTACTGTTGTGAAGTGTAATGTAAATATCTGATAGGCAGGATATCTGATATGCGACCCACCCCCAGAGGGGTCACAACCCACAGGTTGAGAACCCCCAGGTTAGATGACCCTCTCTTTCAGCTCTTTCATGCGGGTTCAGTAGGGTCCTCTAGGTGGCTTAACACACGTGTGCAGGCTGGGTTAGAGATCGCCACCTCCGGGCTGCTTTAACTCACAGATGTGAAAATCCCTGCTACATTGCAACTTAGAGGAAAAAGGGTTTATTCTCATGTGCAGTTTTAGGAGCTACCACTCCATCCTGGCAGAGAAGGCACAGCAGGGACCGTGGGTCAGGCTTGGGGGCGGTGTGTGTGTGTGTGTGTGTGTGTGTGTGTGTGTGTGTGTGTGTGTGCTTTTCCACATCTTGGTGCCTCAGGAAGCCAAGAAAGTGGGGATCAGAAGCAGGGCCAGCCTATAGTCCTCAGTGCCCTACCCCTAACAACCCGTCTCTGCCAGCCAGGCCCCACATCCCCCCAGCATGCCACCAGCCGAGGACCAAAAGCTGAACACACAACAAGACTGTGCGGGATGTTTCCTATCTGAACCATAATACATACTTATTAATGAAGAACTTTCCGGGCTGGAGAGATGGCTCAGAGGTTAAGAGCACTGACTGCTCCTCCAGAGGTCCTGAGTTCAATTCCCAGCAACCACATGGTGGTTCACAACCATCTGTAATGAGATCTGGTGCCCTCTTCTGGCCTGCAGTCATACATGCTGTATACATAATAAATAAATAAATCTTTAAAAAAAAAAACAAAAAAAAAAAAGAACTTTCCTAAAGCTGAGGTCCACTTACGCAGATCCAAACCCTCGATCTCTCTCCGCTCTGCTTTCTAAGACGGCGCCTCATTTAGCAATGGAATTTGGATGGCTCAGGCACCAAGGCTTAGTTTGTCTTCACGTGTCTGGACGAACACACGTTTAAAAACCAGCTGTGCTGCCCACACATCTTACCTGTTGTCAGCACATGCGTGGCACACATGGCTGTCTATCTCTCCTTCTGTGTCAGCCTTCTGGAGGGAACTGTGCCCTGTTTCATTCCTCAGCACAAAAAGAACCTACTTCTCAGCCCCTCTGTGTCTCTGGGCAGGGGTAGGCCACTAAGGGCGGGACTCTGAGAGGGTTATAGGCTAGTCCTGCTTCTGGTGTGTCTTTCTTTGCTTCCTGGTTCATCAAGATGAGAACAAGCCACCACCAAAGCTAAACAGGGCACTCCCCGCCAGGGAGAGAAGTCTGTGGTGTCAGCTCCGGCTGGATCTGGACAGCGTGGGAAGGGGAGACACCATCACAAAGACAAAGACAGCTTGGTCCCTAAACTGGGTGGCAACCTCTGAAGCCAGGGAACGTTCTGCCTCCTTTCACATACACCGCAGACCACCCTGTGCACACACCTGGCAAGACCCCAGCCTGAAACTGTTCCAGTAACAGTTAACAAAGACGACAGATGGAAAGAAAACTCATAAGCACAATGAGAATGTGCTTTGTGCTTTTTTGATATTAATGAATTTCTGGCTTTTATTGTTTTTTTAAGATTAAAATGTAATTGCATTATTTTCCTCCCTCTCTTTTCTCCCTCCCACCCCTCCCATGTACACGCATCTTGCTAAACATATAAATGCAGTCTGCTCGGTCCATTTAGTGTTACTTGTATATGTATAGATGACTTCAGGGCTGACCACTTGGTACTGGATAAGCAATTGGAGGACTTTCCCCCAGGACAGACTATTGCTCCCACTCTCAGCGTTTCTTAATTTCTTGTATGTGGTGATATTTTGTTATACCCTAAAAAAATTTACCTGAAGATGAGAGAACAGAACAAACCACCAGATTAAACATAGAGGCCAGGCAGTGGTGGCACATACCTTTAATCCTAGTACTCGGGAGGCAGAGATCCATCTGGATCTCTGTGAGCTCAAAGCCACCCTGGACTACATGAGATTGACTCAGTCTAGGAGAGAAACAGAGCCAGGTAGTGGTGGCACAAGCCTTTAATCTCAGCACTTGGGAGTCACACACCTTTAATCCCAGCACTTGGGAGTCACACACCTTTTATCCCAGCACTTGGGAGTCACACACCTTTAATCCCAGCACTAAGAAGGAAGGGATATGGCTGGACGGAGAAAGGTATATAAGACAAGAGGAGACAGGAATTAAAGCCTTTTGGCTGAGGAGCACTTTTCATCTGAAGGCTTTTTGGCTGGAGGCCTTTCGGCTGAGGACTCACAGACATTCAGCCAGAGGATTTGTGGAGTTGGTGAGGTGAGACATGGCAGTGGCTTGTTCCTTTGTCTCTCTGATGTTTCAGCATTTACCCCAATATCTGGCTTTTTTTTTTTTTTTTAAGACCAATTAGATTTTGTGCAACACTTGTCCAGGGTTTGGGGCCTCCTGAGACTTCCCCCTTCCACGTTAGCAAATCTTATGCTGTTAATACTTCTTTGGGGCTTGTTTAAGCAGCCATATTGCTGAGGTATCCTGGGTGAAGGCTTTCCTGTCATTTCTAGACATAATCTCACAGTAGCCTTTCTAAGACTCTTGCTCTTAATGAGCTTTCTGCCTCCTCTTCAGTGATGCTCTCTGAACTTCAGGTGCAGGAGTTGTCATAGATGGACCAGCTGGGGCTGGACACCATATGATCACTTGTTTTGACTGTTTATGGTTTTTCTGTAATGGCTTCCTTTTGTTACAAGGAGAAGTTTCTCTGGTGAAAGGCTGAGTATTTGAAGCCTTGTCACCATACTTCACGAATGCTGCTACATAAAGTGGTGCCATGAGATGGCTGGCCACACCGTGAATTACTGCAGCTGTTATCAGTCACCCACAGGTCTGTGGCTAGGCGCAGTCAATGAGGGAAAGACTTGGTCAACATCCTCCAAAGGCTTCAAGTCTTCAGGAAGAGATGGTATGGAGTGTGAATAAACAGAAGAATAGCAATGACATGTTAACAGAGCAGTAGAGCTAGAATGGGAAAGATATGCTGAGGAAGGACAGTTTTTTAGAAAGGGAGGATGTGTGTGAATGCTTGCACGTATGTGTGCATGTGTGTGTATGTGCAAATGCATGTGTGCGAGGTGTGTGTGTGCAGGTGTGTGTGTGTGTGTGTGTTATTTTTCTCTTGCTGTGATACAATACTATGACCAAAAGCAACTTAAGGAAAGAGAGTCCATTTTGGCATACTATTCCAGCAGCCTAGAGCCATAATGGTGGGGAAGGTAAGGCACGCCCAGAGGAGCAGGAAGTTGGCTGATCACACTTCATCTGAACACAGGAAGCCTCTAGAACTAACAGGATGTGGGACAAGGCTATAAACCTGCAAAGCCCACCCCTAGTGGTCTATTTCCTCTAACAACTGTACCTCCTAAAAGTTCCATAACCTCCCCAAACACACTGCAGGTGGGAACCAAGTGTTTGGATGCAAAAGCCTATGGGAGGCATTTTTCATCAAATAATAACTCTGTGTGTGTGTGTGTGTGTGTGTGTGTGTGTGTGTGTGTGTGTGTGTGTTTGTGTAATGCTGAGGTTGGGGGACTGAACATCTAGGACCTTACATACACCCACACTGAGTGTGACCACCAATGCTGCCCCCTAACACTGAGTTGCAAAGAAGGATGGTTTGGGGAACATTTGTGTAGAGTCCTGAGTTCAGGTGGTGGTGGCAGTGACTTTTTCATCTGAGAAATGAGGACAGTGTGGAATCCTGCTGCCGTCAGGGTTAGTTACAATGCCCCGAACTCCTCTCTCCACAAGGACTGAGTTAAACACAATTCCATTCAGGATTTCAGTTACTGTTCATGACCAGCCTGTGCTCAGCTGTAAGTAAGCCCTTGCCCCACGTTAGAGCCAGGGAAGCTGGGGCTCAGCTAACAGAGCAGCACTGTGGGTATATGAGCAAAGGCCCTTGATAGGATGATGCAGTCACATCAGAGGGATGCTGAGCAGTGTGGTACTGCTGAGCTTAGGGTGTGGAAGACTGTAGAAGTTCTCCCTGTCCTGACTGCCTGCTTCCAAATAACCAGCAGCTGCTTCCCAAATAACTGACTTGGAGACTTAATATAAATTATAAATGCTGGACCGATAGCTCAGGCTTGTTACTAACTAGCTCTTACAACTTAATTCATTTCTATTATCTATGTGCTTCCCTGAGGCTTGTGGCTTTTACCTCTATCCTATTTTGTGTGTCCAACTTGTTCTGCACCTGGCTGACAACTCCTCTGGCTTTGCCCTTTCTCATCCCATCATTCTCAGTTTGGTTTTCCTGCCTAACTATCCTGTTCAGCTGTTAGCCAGTTAGATTGTTTATTAAACCAATCATAGCCACATATATTCACACAGTGTGCAGCAGGATTATTCCAAAGACAGATAGATAATAAGCAAGGGTTCAGAAAGACCTAAGCTATGATATTCAAGAACCAACAACCCCAAGTGGAAGAGGCCAAAAGGAGGCCAATTATTGCAGAGTGTAGTTTATCAGGGACTTATGGACAGAACAGTGTCTCATATGATGGCCAGGAGAATGATCTCTGCACCCCATTGCAGGAGGAAGGCAGTTACATGGTGGGTGTCTTGGTTAGGGTTTCTTTTGCTATGACAAAACACCATGACCCAAATGCAAGTTGAGGAGGAAAGGGTTTATTTGGCTTACACTTACACATTGTAGTCTATCACTAAAGGAAGGCAGGACAGGAACTCAAACAGAACCTGGAGGCAGGAGCTGATGCAGAGGCCATGGAAGGGTGGTACTTACTGGCTTGCTCAGCCCACTTTCTTATAGAACCCAGGACCACCAGCCCAGGGATGGCACCACCCACAATGGGCTGGGCCATCCCCCATCGATCACTAATTAAGAAAATGCTCTATAGCCTGATCTTAATGGAGGCATTTTCTCAACTGAGGTTCTCTCTTTTCAGATAACTCTGATTTGTGTCAAGCTGACATAAAATTAGCCAGCACAGTGGGCAAAGTTGGGCTGAGGCCAACTTGAATGCATAGTAGCTTTCTTGAAAGGTGTTGGCATGTCAAGAATCTGTTAAGAAATATTCAGGAGTCAGTGGGCAGCCAGAACTGTGCAAATGGCTGTCTTAATGTCTTTGCCCTGTAGGGCTTAGACTGCACATCAGGGTCACCCAACAGGAAACTGTAGCTGTTATGATCATGATGGTTATTGTAAAGAGCTAGAAAGACAGCTCAGAGGTTGCCAGTATGCACTATTCTCGCAGAAGAATCAAGTTTGGTTCCTAGCATCCATACTGGACAGCTCACAACCACTTGTAAATCCATTTCAAGGGGGACCCTGCCTTCTGTGGCTTCTGAAGGCTCTATACTCAAGTGCACCCCCCCATATACATAATTAAATCACTTTTTACAAGATGGCTGTAGTCATGTCAAGTTGGGTCCCTATAGCAGGGTTAGTATTCATGTAGTGCCTTGAACTGTATGAAAAAGCAAGATTAGCCACATCTCAAGCCTATAGTGGTGAAGCAAGCCATCACCACGCAAGTGTGCTCCATGATGTTCATTTAGACATCAAAATTACCCCAGGGAGGTTAAAAACACACTTCACACTTAGAGGTCAACTTGTTTTTGTGGCTCAGTAGCCTAGGTATCAGTGAGACCTCAAAGGCATTGATACTCGATGGGGCCTTCGTTTATGTTTACAAAATGTAGCCGAAACTTGCAGATCCACCTTAGACTTCAAATCCTGACGTAAAAGAGCAGCAGGCCTTCACTCACCCGTGAATTAAAGTTAGCTGTGCTGGAGAAAGCCTGTCTTAAGTGTCATTGCTGCTTCTTATGGTTTTCTTGCTGTGGTTCAGTTTCCTGCTAAATCCCGTGTGTGACATGTGATGGATGGTTGGTGGAGGGGCAGTAGGGTAGAATGCTGATAGCAGAACCGCACCAGCTAGGAAGCCTTCAAGAACCTGGCACCTGAGCACTAATAGCACCTACTTCGTGAGGTTGTGTAAGAAATAAGCTAGAAACACTTGTCAAATATTAACACTGTATCTACCACCTTTAATGCCAGAGAGAGAGAGAGAGAGAGAGAGAGAGAGAGAGAGAGAGAGAGAGAGAGAGATATTACTCCTCCCTATCTACTGATGTTTTTCTTCAGTTGTCTCAAGGATTTATATTCAGAGCTAGGTCTGGTAATGGTAACCTGGAGAGTCTGGGAAGTTGGTTCAGTCTTTTGTTGTTTGTTTTTGCTCTCTTGTGGGACCCACCACCCAGCTCCCAATAAGTCACACATGGAGGCTTATTCTTAATTATAAATGTCTAGCCTTAGCTTGGCTTGTTTCTAGCCAGCCTTCCTTAACTTTAAATTATCCCATCTATCTTTTGCCTCTGAGATTTTCCCATCCTCTTACTTCTGTAAATCTTACTCTTACTCCATGTCTTGCTGTGTAGCTGGGTGCCTGGTCCCTGGAGTTCTCCTCTCCTTGTTCTCTTGCTCTCTTGTTTCTCCTCCTTTCTTCCAGATTTCTCCTTCTATATATTCTCTTTGACTTCCAGCCCTGTCTATCCTTTCTCCTGCCTTGCTATTAGCCATTCAGCTCTTTATTAGGCCATCAGGTGTTTTAGACAGGCACAGTAACACAGCTTCACAGAGTTAAACAAATGCAACATAAACAAAAGTAACACACCTTAAAATAATATTCCCCCAACGTTAGTCAGTAAAGTGACTTTCTTAAAAGCTTCAGAACTTAAGTTTGGATTCCCAGCACCCATGTCAAAGCCAGGTACATGGGTCTAGGCAAGAGCTGGAGCTCATTGGCTGACCAGCCTAGCAGAAGTCATGAGTTCCAAATTCAATGAGAGACCCTGTCTCAAAAAATATGTAGACTTTAGTCCCAACACTTGGGAGGCAAAGGCAGGCAGACCTCTATGAGTTCAAGGTCAACTTTATCTACATAGTGAGTTCCAGGATATCCAGGACTATGTAGAGAGACCCTATCTCATCCCTCCTTCAAAAAAAAAAAAAAGTAGAGAGCAACTGAAGAACAGCTCTCTGGTTTTTCTCATAAGAGCATTAATCTCTTATGCCAGGTCAGGCTTGTCCCCTTATGACTTAATTTAACCCTGTTACTTCCCAAAAAGAACTTGTCTTAGTGCAGGTGTATTGAGGGTTGGGACTTCAACAAATAAATTTATTGCTTTGTTTTGAGGCAGGGTGTTATTAGCTCAGGCTGGCCTCATGTAGTCCAGGCTAGCCTCAAACTCATAATCTTTCCTCCACCTTGAGTGCTAGGATTCACAGGAATGTGTCACCATGTTTGGTTTATGTGGTGCTGGATCAAGAAGATCATGCATGCTAGGCAAGCATTCTACCAACTGAGCTATACCCCCAGCTCTAACATACACATTTTAAGGGGATACAAACATTAGGTCCACAATAATTGGCTTCAGAACAAAAGAAACTGAAGCCGACGGTGAATACTTGAGCGATTAGCTGTCCTCACTACTAGGACTTATAATTGTTAATAATGAAAATACTGAATTTTAAGCAGATTTTAGCATCTCATAAAAAGCTAATCCAACTTCATGGAGTTGTTTTCTATAATGCTTCATTACTTTCCTGGGAGTTTGGTGGAAACATGAACTTTCTCCCACAAACAGATAGGAATACCCAGGCACAAAGAAGTGGAAGACTCAAGTTACATTTCAAATGATAGACACGGACAGACTGGAATTCACCTTTCTGACTTCCACTCTGTTAAGTTACATGCCTTATATTGTCCATGTCTTACCGTTCTGTTTCTGTAAAGAGACACCATGACCAAGGTAACTCATAGAAGAAAGCGTTTAATTGGGGGCTTGCTCAGTTTAGGTTAGCCCATGATCATCATAGCAGCGAGCAGACAGGCGTGGCGCTGGAGCAGTAGGTGAGAGCTTTACATCCTCATCCACAGACAACAGGCAGGGGGAGCTGGCGTGACCTTTTGAAACCTCAAAGCTCACCCCCATTGACACACCGTCTCCAACAAGGCCATACCTAATTCACCTAATTCTTCTAAAATAGTCACTCTCTGGTGACTATCCAAATTCAAATATATGAGCCTCTGGGGTCACTCTCCTTCAAATCCTCACAGTCTGTTAATAACTAACTCAGAAATACGCTACAGGAATGGCGTCTTCAGGAGTCGTTGAGATGGCAGGGCTAGAATGGGAAACAGACACACGGGTTCAGGTTCCGACTCTGTTACTTGTATTTGTGGAGTTTGGTTCAAAGTATTGACCCTTTAGAATCTCATTTTTCCTAGTGTAGGGGTCTGCCCTCTGTTTCTAACTATAAGGGAATAAAGCAAGTGTCTTGCAGACCAGCCTTAAATGCATTCTTCCTGCACATGTTAAAAAATGCAATCAACACCCTGGTACTGTGCTATTGGCCACTACGTGTATATAATGTTTGGCCTACAGGGCCAAAAAGGCTTTCATATTGACAAATGCTGTCCAGCGTTAGACTTGACGCTTTACCAAGGCACCCACCCGTGACTCAGGCTTCACCTTGTGCCCTTCCAGCCCTATAACCTGACTCCTCACCATTCTGTCTCCAGGCTTCCTCTTCTCACTGGGAGGAAGGACTTGTGGTTTTCCTCCCAGCTGGCTTGTCCTGTGGTCCTGAGGAAGACAATGTGTGGGGAGAAAGGGGTCGTGTGCAGATGTAGCTGTCACATCATCCCCGAGGTGACAGACCTGGAGTATGACAACCTCATCAGCAACCAGCTGTCACACGTGGACCAGATCATCGTCGTCTGTGTGTTCTCAGCCAAGAAAGAGGATAAGACTATAGGGGAGGTGACCGGCGTCTACAGGGAAGTGAACAAATCCAGACACATGCCTTGCGTTCAGGTGAGCGTTACATGGACAAAGTGTGGGGCGTGTTTGCTTGGGTGTTTCATTGCAACACGCTCCCTCCGACACACAAAGGATTGTAGAGTGTCTTCCGGCTCCCCGCTTTGTATTTGGCATCACAGAGTGTGTTTGTACAATGAAGGTCACAAATCTTCATGGCGTCGCTCCGGTTCGGGTATGCTTTCTCCCCACTAGAGTACCAGGAACTTGAAGAGAAAGGGTCTGGTTGGAGATGACCGCATCCCAGGGGCACAGCCCCTTGAAGAGATTAGTGCTTTTCTTCTGGAGTTTTCTAGGGCTCACGCGACCATGCCAGTTCTCGTGAAAAGGAGTTGTTATAAAAGTAGACCACGCCATGCATTTGGTTCCTTCTGCATGTGGACATTTTTCCCTATATTTCTCTACCATGTTGTAAAGCAGTCAGGGAGAGAGCCTTCCTCAGAGAGCATCCAGACTCATGAGCCAAATGAACAACTTAAAAAAAATTATGGGGCTGGAGAGATGGCTCAGCAGTTAAGAGCACTGGCTGCTCTTCCAGAGGACCCAGGTTCAGTTTCCAGAACCCACATGGCAGCAAACAACTGTCTGTAACTCCAGTTTCCTGGGATCTGACATCTTCACACCAATGCACATTAAATAAAGTTAAATAAATTATTTTTAAAAAATAGCCATACTTTACCTAATTTCAGGTATTCTGTTATGGCAACACAAAATGGATTAAAATGTGTATATAGTATTATGGATTTGGAGTATGTACAGTGCCTATATATTACCACTCAGATGAAGATATAGAAGAATATTTCAGGGCTGAAAAACTCTTCTCTTGCCGGGCGGTGGTGGCGCATGCCTTTAATCCCAGCACTC